GTATATATTTATATATTGCTTTGAATCTTCAGAGTGTCATGGGCAGAGGTGGAGAGGGGCAGAGTACATACTCAGTTGTTTCCTAAAACCTCTCCAGTCTTGTGAAGAAACACAGAACTTAGGGATTATATCTGGCAGCATTTCAGTCCTTGGGAATTTCATTTGGCTGGCCTGCCTTTACAGACTCTTGGTTACAGGGGGCTGTCTTCTGACCTCCCTGTTCAGTCTTGGTGATGGGCTCGACTGCTTGATGGTGTAGCACATCAAGTGTTTTGCCTATGATGAAAACTTCCTAAGCAGATTCAGAGACAGTTACTGAATACCTGCTATATCCTGTTTCTGGAAGCTTCTAGAAACTTAACTAAATTGATTTCTTCTCTGTCCATGCTCAGAGAAGTTGACTTCCTGGAATTCTGTGTTACTTTGGCCAAAACTAAGTCCAGTGCCTTAGAGATGCTCATAGCTGTTGACACAGAAGAAAAATGACACATAACATACACAGGGGAAAATACAAAGGGAATAGTGAGTGAGTGTGAACTCAGAGATGATGAGAAGATAACAGGTTTCAACTTACTATACATGCTATTGATACTGGAAATTCTTTTAAAAATCTTTATTAAAACAAGAGTGTGTAAAAAGACTACGAAGGCACTTGAGGATGTTTATGGTAATACAGATCTCTTTATGACAGTAATTGCACATTATCAACAGACATGAGTTATTCAGGATGGAGTGGGACAGTGGAATTAGTTTGCTATACAAGTCTCCAATGTCCTTACTACATGTCATCTTGCCTATGCTAGAAAGTCTGTAGGAATATAATTTATGAACATTTGTCATTTATGTATACTTTGTAGTTGACCGCTCACCTAATATGATGATAGCACACATTATAATAGGAAAGCAACATTCTGCTTAGTAATCTTTTCACTCATATATATTTTTAGTATGACTTTGAGTAGACAGCATATACATTTTATTTATAATAATCATCAAAGTAAAAGCAAGAAAGAAAAAAATTATAACACATATCATTCCTAGGGCAGAAAAGATCTGTTTCAGAATCTTTCAGATAGCATATGTATTTATATCTTTTTGTGAAGTATTTGTTGATGAATCCCATGTAATATTGGGTGGCGTCACATAGACCCTGTGCTTGATATTTTCTTACAACCTATGATGGGGGGAAAAGGATGAGTATAAAAGTGCCAAAGATGTTGATCCAACTGAGTGATGTTTCATTTGCTACAAGTTTACATCCATAGGAAAAATAAGAGGCAGTTCTCATGTCCTGATAGTTTCCTTATACAGGTTAAGGTGTGGATTTTTGCTGGCTGAAGCAAAATGAAGTGTTTAATTATTAGTGAAAATGAGTGTAGAAAAGCTGCATCAAAAATCATTCTGTTGGGATCTATGTGTGTTTTCATAAAGTGGTCAGTGATACCAACAGCGATACTTCAGATCTGTGCCTTGAATTTCTTGCATGCTTCAGTTCTGATCTTCTGTTCACATGATTCTGAAGTGGTCCTGTGATCACAGGGTGCTCCTTTTTTGCCCTGATGTTTCTGTTATTGCTGTCCTTGGCATAGTTTCACAGTTGACAAATTATCAGTCTGAATTAGTTTATTACAGACAAAAGCCTGAGAAGTTTGCTGTGCCCGACATACGGACCAGTGCCTGGACTGCTGGTCTGAAACTGACTTAAATTGTTGTAAAGAAGGAGTAACTCTGTTAGACCTGAGAAATTTATTTATTTATTTTATTTTTTAAAACTAAGCCAGATTTCTTGGACTTATTTTGAAAAAAGAAGGAACCGGGGAGAGGTAGCCCTTACCCAAAGTTACTGTTCTGCTTGATACAGCATCTGGAATAACTCGTTTGAGATTGACTCTCTCTGTTGGTGCTTTCTTCAGTCTTTTCTGAAGCTTTTAACTGAAATTAAATGAGTGGGTTGTGGTTCCTCTCCACTCTGCAAGGAGCTCTAGCCTTTCATTTACCTATTTGTTATAGCTTATTAAGCTTTCTTGTCTTCCCCATCTGTCTGACAGTTTTATGCCTTTTAGTGGAACTGATCCAATCTAAACAATTGCATGACTTTTTAAAACTTCCCTATTATCTATCCAATCATGACTTTTTCATTGGGATTCATTCATGAATTCTAGAGCCACATTTTAATTTCTGTCAGTCGGTGCTGTGCATTTTCAGTTCTTGCTTTACAGCCAGCTTTGTGGTAAAGTGCTTTCTGTAGCTTTATGAATAATTCAGGAGAAAAAAGAACAAAGCTAGGCTTATAGAGATATGGAAGAGGAAGGAAAAAAGAAAGGCTTTCTGGAAAAGGAGTTGTTTGGGCTGCAGTTCCAGTGAGCTGTTCCAGTGACAGAGCATATTAATGACAGTGGTAGGCGAGTGAGGTCACTGTGATGTCAGTGCTCCTGCTTGTAATCCTGCACATGCTTGTTAGTTTGGAGCAGTTCATGCTGAGCTCTGCTAGAGGAACAGGAGAGTCGGACGTGCAGAAGCTGATCATGGCTGTAACAGGAGATGAAACAGGTAAAAATTGTGAGTCTTTTACATTATATTTTTGGATGTTTACACAGTGCTTAGTTGGTGTTTGTGACATTTTCTTTTAAACCTGTTGCTGTAACTCTTTCATCTTTCAAAACTGGTACAAACGGCTTCTGGTTATATCTACTCAGCGTAGGATTTCAGGGCAATTTTACTAGTTTCTTATGGGGGAAAAATCACCGTTAGTGCATGAGTTCTTGCACAGATCGATTCTGATAACTAATCTTTACTGCTTGATGCAGGATCTTACTGATGAATCCACCGCTTTTCTTTCAAATTCTTCCTTAGTTTGGAGGTTGTAACATACGTGACTCTGTTCATGCTCGTTTTTTATTTTGTAAAAATGACACTGCTTTTTTGTTCAGCAAGAAACACTTCAGAGTTGATAGCTAAAATAGGCTTAAGCGTAGCTGTAAGGGAAAGGTGTGCGTTGTTTTAGTAGCGTGAACAAGCCCCGTGCTTTCGTTATTAAAGAGAATACGGAGTGCGGGCAAATTTGCGAGAGCCCCAGGTCGCCGCGCGGCGGGGCCGCCCCCGTTGTCGCCGCGCGCTGGGCTCTCCCCCCGGTGGAGTTCAGAGCGCTGACGTCATCGCATTTCCTGGAATCGCGTTGCAGCAGGGCCCTGGAAAAGTTACAGTCCAAGCCCGCTGCACGTTGACGTCAGCCCGAGTCACGCTGCGATGCAGTCAGTTCCTTTCTGCCTCGTCAGTGGCCTCGGGCAGAGCCCTGGCGTTAACCCTTCGCAGGCGGTACCTACGTGCTGCTGCGCAGTGCTGCTAGATTGGTTCGTTAATTCAAAGATAAGTATCTTCTCCGAGTCGTTTGGGTTTTCTTTATGTTCAAAGGGGTAATGAGTCGTGCCTTGTTCAGCCAGTTTAGTGGTGGAGTTAGAAACTCTGTGATAATTTAGTCCCTTCATTATGACTCACAGAAGGGGAGAGCAGAGGTACTACTCCATAGCATGCATCAGGCTTTTTGCTCCTGGACAGTCGCTGAAAGAACTCCAGTGCAGGGATGCTCTCTAGTGTTCAGCAAGTTACTTTTTCCAAGAACCTGCTGATACAAGGAAGTTGATTTTTATTTGGCTTGGTTTTTATATTTTTTTTTAACTTCTCAGAGTTTAATTTACAAGGTTAGTGTTACTTGTCCAAATATGGCTTAGTTTTTTGTTTGCTTGTTTGTTTGTTGTCCTGTTAACAATTTCCTTTTTGTAAGTTTCAGCTCAAAGTTTCAGGTTTTCAGAGACTTTTTACTCACTTTTCTCCCCTCCTTAAAATTGCAAGTCCTGGGGCAGTGCATTAGGGAAACACGCCATCTCTGGGTTTGTTGCGTTGTTAACAGTTTCAGTCCCACCTCTGGTATGTTAGGAGTGACATTAAACCTCCATGAAAGTTTCATGACAAACGGCCACAGAGGTTTATCAGTCTGGGTCAAGGTGTGTGGGATTTTTGTCTCAGATGCTGAAACGAGAAGTAATCTGTAGATACATTACTAGGCTTAAACTATGAATGTTTTTCAAGGCTGTTTTAGCCCCCCTTCTTAAAGCTTGTTTCATCTTTCCCACTGTCTTTTTTTAGTATCTTAGTATTTGATTGTAACTGTCTGAGATATGCAAAAAAATTTACAGACTTCAAAATAATCGGTTGCAATAATGTATCATAAAGCACATATTACTGCACAAGTAAAAGACACTTTGTGAAGGCTATGCTTGTTTTGTTTTGTTTTAACTGCGGTGTCTGGGTTTCCAAGGTCTGTACCACTGACTTGGTTACTTCTCTCTGTTACCACGCTGAGCCAACTTTAGGCAGGGGCAGAGGCTGCTGGAGCTTGCCCAAACTGTTCACGCAGCAAGTCCTTACAGCGGTGTTTGCTGATCCCGGCTGAGATAGGGACTCACTTTTGTTAGGCAGTGTTGCAGGAGCGTTATCACACTGAGTCCTCTGAACGGCAGCAGCAGTAAGAGCTTTTAGCAAACATCTGAGTGTAAAGCAAACAAAGACAACAAAGTAGTTGGTCTTGCCAGGCTGAGGTGACCTGAGTTATGGGTCTTTCCCCATGACTTGATCTATCAAATGGTTCACTTGGATTTCTAATTCATTGTAGCTAATGCAAACTAAGATAACATCTCTTTTTTTACCTCGTGATGAGAGGCAGAAAAAAGTATTTCTTCCTATGGAGTCTATAAAATGTATGTAATATGGCCAGCATAAAGGTGAGCAGTCTGAACAGTTTCTAAAATTCCGTTTTTATAAACAGTGAGCTGAACTCCCCATTGACATAACTGGGACTGCTAAGAAATGTGGAGAACTTAAGAGTTAAGTAATTCTCCTGTAGATGTACAGGATGACCAGGCCCTGTGTTTATGCCAGATTGTGCTCGCAGGGCTGTCCGGGCCTGATTTCTCTCTCCCTCCCCTGTCCCCAGGGGATTATCCCTAACCCGGGTCAGTTCACTGGTCCAGTTCAGCTTGTAATTCCACAAACACTTTTACCCACAGCACCGAGAGAAGGGGGAGGTGCAGTGTGTTTTAAGCTGATAATGATTTCAGGACATGACTGTGGAATTGTAGTCTAAACACAGCCTGATGCTATTTTTTTTTTTATTTCATTACTGCTCTACCCATCAGCCTCCCCAAAGTGTTTTTTCTACATTTTTTTCCTAGTTTTTTCCATTATTTGAATATTGCTTCAAAGAATTAAAGTAAAAATTAAGTATAACTTAACAGCCCTGAAACTTCATGTTTTATATTCAGTTGCTTTAATGACAAAATTTGAAGTTTTGTTCTGTGATAATGTAAAACATTTATGGAAGGGAATAGGTAAATACTTGTTTATAATTTGAAGATAGATACATTTCTTTGATTTTTTTTTTTTTCTGTGTCAGGCAAGACACAAGTGTGTAGGACTTTCACAGTTTTGAAGTTGGGGTACATCATGTAGGAACAAAGTACCTCAGAAATACAGAAATGAGGTGAGACTGTCAGCATGGTATTGGTTCCAAATAACGTGTTGGACTTCAGATCTGCGTTTAGCTTGGAGACAGCTCACAACTAGTATGCTTAGGAGCGGAGTCTGAACTTTTGCACTCCAGTTTATTGTGTAGCTACACCCCTTCCTGTGCAACTGCCAATATGTCCTCTTGCCCACTAATGCTGCAGCATCCTATTTCACAGAATCACAGAATGTTAGGGATTGGAAGGGACCTCAAAAGATCATCTAGTCCAATCCCCCTGCCGGAGCAGGAACACCTAGATGAGGTTGCACAGGAAGGCGTCCAGGCGGGTTTTGAATGTCTCCAGAGAAGGAGACTCCACAACCTCTCTGGGCAGCCTGGTCCAGTGCTCTGTTACCCTCACTGAGAAGTTTCTTCTCAATTTTATGTGGAGCCTCCTATTTGTGGTCCTCTTGCTCAAAGAACATGCTTCTGTTCACCATGAGCACTTGTCTGTCCTTTTTGTTTTGGCAACAGGAGCTCTCACTGGTTTTGCAAGCATTGCCAAACTCCTGCTGTAAAGGGAGGAGAGGCAGTAGCGTTGGTGCTACTGCTGTCACAGGGAAGGTTGTTTCCTGAAGCCTCTGTTGGAGGACAGGGGTAGCACATCAACCTCAATGGCTGCAACAGCAAGACCATCTTTTCTCAGGATTGTGCAAAGAGGAAATAAATGTGGATGCTCTGACAGTGCTTCTCAGATGGCTTTTCCCTGTGTTGCCTGAAAAGAGCCATGTGGAAGCTTTCAGAGGCTTCAGTCTGGCTGCCTTGTGGGGCCACGTGCTGGAGCAGTTTAGAGAACATTTTACACTGTGGAAATAAATGCTAGTAAGGTAACAAATACAGGCCTGTGAAATATCTTTTGTAGCAGGGATCCTGGGTAACTCATCAACAGAAATCTCTTATTTCCAGAGAGACTTTTGCATAGTTCTTTTTTGCCATAAAGTTTAAATATGATTCTTTCATACAGCTGCCACTGGAGACATGCCAGCTTACCAGATTGGAACTCCAAGTACTACCTTACCTCAGGGAGTGGTAATGGCAGCCTCACCAGGGACTTTGCACAGCCCTCAGCAACTGGCAGAAGAGGCAACACGCAAGAGAGAGCTGAGACTTATGAAAAATAGGTAAGACTCTGTAACAATTAATAGTCAGTGTTGCATAAAAAACCTAACCACAACCAAACCCCAAATATTATAATGAAGTTTTCTTTTTAAGGTCATGAGCACTGCCTGTGATTGATGAAGGGAGGGCAAGAAATTCTTTCAGTCATACCACATCTTTATAACATTGACTATTGGCTGTTAACTCTGGAAAGTTAGAGTTGACCTTATCACCATGGATTTTTAGTTCTAAAATACCATAGTAATTCAGAAATCTGTTAGTCTTGTCCCTTTCTGCTAATTTTTGCCATGGTCTGAAGGTATACTTATTCTTGAAATTGCCCCCTGCTACTGGTAGTAAAATGACCAGTATGGGTTTGTTCCTTTTGAAGCATCCCAGCAAAGAATTGGTTAGGAAAATATCTGAGGATCTCATTAGCAGCTGTCCATTAATGGTGTTGTGAAGAGGACTTACTCTAGGATGGAATGATAATTATAGACTTTCCTAAATGCTTGGCTGCTGGCTTAAGTTACTGAGCAGTGCCCCAGTCATTCTGTGAGGCACATTGTGAGAGGTGGCTTTATATTCTTCAGTAAGTTGGCGTGGACTTGACTGTATGCTGTGAGTGCCAGTCTTTCTCTCTGCATTCTTCTTGCTAGTTTTAGAGAACTCTTTCTTTTTGTCAAATGTGTAGCCACCACTGTTAATGGCAGTTAGATTAACAGTAGAAATAGTCTGCTATGCAGATCTCTGATACATTGAATAGCCACTTGCCTTATGATTGAATTCATAGTATTGCTTTGCTCTCATGCCTGTGCTTTCTTTTAAAATACTTACGAGGATTACTGCATTGCTGTGCTTCCCTTTGTTCCTCTCGTCTGTTTTAAAACTAGTGTCTATGCTATCTCTCTTATAGTTCGCTGGAAAGTTACACTCTCACAATTTGGCAATTTATCATGTTCCGAGATGTTAAAGGAGTCAACTCCTAGTACTTCTAACATTTCTTCTGGAATTGAATGCTTGTTCAGTCATGCGCTTCTGAAAATACTACCCAAGGTTATTTAGCTTCAGTCTAACAGCGCTGAGCAGAGCTGTGAGAATAGCTCCAGTCTGCCATTTGCAAGCAACAGAAAACTCCCCAGATGCATGTGGCTGAAATGTGCCCAGGTGGACAGTTCTAAAATGCTAATAAATTGTTTGGACTTAAATTTTACTGTAGATTGTTACATTAAGGTAAAACAAATTACAGCAGGTTGTAAGCCGGGCATCTAGCTTTTTATCTGAAGAGAGCACATTTGTACTTTCTGAAAGTAATTTCTCTGGGATTGGTTTTAAGATTTTGATTGCAGAAGGTAGTACTCCTAATACACACACACAGTGGAATGTGACTGGAAGTAGAAATGCTGCTTTCAGTCTTAATGTTTAGTACAACTCAAGCCAATACGTTATCACTTACTCACTGTTTTCACAGTTCCTCTGTGTATTAATTCCATCTTTGTATTTGTTGGTGCTGAATTTGTTTCAAGTTCTAGTTGTTTTGAATTGTATCCTAACCATGTTACTGCCTATGGCTGTTACCTGCTGTTCTGTCTGTGCAAGCCATTGGTTGTTTTTGGTGGTGGTGGTGGTGGTTGTTATGGTGGAACCGCAGGGGTTGCAGGTCATTTAATTTCTCCAGTCTTTGCCGTATTGTGGCTGTTCCTGTAGTCATTTGCCTTGTATTGGTTCCAGGGAAGCTGCCAGAGAATGTCGCAGAAAGAAGAAAGAATATGTCAAATGTCTTGAAAACCGTGTGGCTGTGCTTGAAAACCAAAACAAGACTCTCATTGAGGAACTCAAGGCCCTCAAAGATCTTTATTGTCATAAAGCAGAATAACTGTCTTTCATTTGGACCTCGTTTATTATGAACTTTAATCAAGGCATGAGAGGAAGCAATTCTACAGATTGCCATGTGAACTTGAGAAAGAGACACTTGAGGCTCTTGTGGAACCCAGTTTTGCTTAGTGTTTTCAGACTGATTTGGAAGTTATTCCAAAATTTGGAATTCTGTCATAGTCTCCTTACTCTGCTGAGCTTTCTAATGGCATGCAAATGGCTTTTTTGTTTGCACTTTTTACTTCTGCTTTTTGCAGGAAAGCTGCTAAAGAATGTCGACGTCGGAAGAAAGAATACATTTTATGTCTGGAGAGTCGTGCTGCAGTGCTAGAAGTTCAGAACAAGAAACTTCTAGAGGAGCTTGAAACCCTAAAAAGCATTTACTCTTCCAAAGCAGATTAGTAAAGATATTTATTATACTGTGAACTGATTAAAATATAGTTGCTTTATAAGGCAATACATAGCCAACCTGAATTATGGCTTTTTCTTTGTGTCATTTATATTATATTCCAACTCCTAACATTCCTGAAATGCTTTCCTGCTTTTTGTCAATTCATAGCTCTAATTTCAGGTTTTTCGTGCTTTTCCCTTCCATCTCCCAAGGAGCCAAATGTTAAAAAAAAAAAAAGTAACAAAGTAAACCTGCATCATTTCTAAGAGCTGTTTCTTTGCCATATATTTACATACTACTTTTTACATGTTACTGAGTGTCCTGCACATACAAAGTATTTTACAATTGTTTTAGATTAATCATAAATATAATGCATCTAGTAATACAAGAAAATCAAACAACCCAAGGTATCTCAGGAAAGAGTTTATAAAAGAATGTTATGATTACATATATGTACTAGCATACTAGTCTACAGATGATTTTATGGCATATTTTTATATTAGTTGCTTTGTGGAAAAAAAGTCTTGTATTGCTGTCACTGAGTGCCATGTTTGAAGATAGTTTTTAATAGAACCATGTTGTTTAACCTGTGTAGTGTCTGATTTCCTTTGAACATCTGGTTATTAGAGAGGCTTTTAAAAGCCACAAATACCTGGAAGAGGACAAAGGAAAAAAGCATACCTGAACTCATGACATGATGCTAAGTAAATACCTGAAAGAAGCTGGCTGTTATGTGGCTGCTGTTTACTTAAGTTTTCTGTAGTCTGTAGAGTATTTGATTTGTTAGAGGTCTATGTATCAACCTTCAGTTTTGTGTCCTGAACACTTCGTGTCCTGGATTTTGGACAGTTGTAGACAGTTGTCTGTAGCGAAGGCTGATGGTGTAGTTCTTTTCACACTTTCTGCAGACTACTGAAAGGTAGTAGAGGCAACTGAAAGAAGGAAGCTTTCCAATAACCAGTAACTCCCTGCTGATTCACAGGGTTCCTGAATGGCCTGTAGGTGAGAGCTGAAGATTTTTAAAATAAACCCATGCTTAAACGTGATTACAGTTCTGGTAAATGCAGTTCGTGCCAACTTTCCGTTGTGTTTTGAAAGAAAATAGTGCTTATGCAAAATTGCTTCTGGGTATTTCTTTAATTCAGGAATGATCTAATTGTTTGTTGGCAGTGCAGTCTGTGAGCAGAGTATTTGGGAGCTTTGCTGGAACTAGCAGCACCGTTCCCTTGCTGATGTGATAAGAAGAAAGGCTTAGTTCCTGTTAATTGGCTTCACTGGAGGGAGAGTGTGTGCGTGGAGGGGGTCGGGATGGAATCATACCATTACTGAAGTCACTGAGACTTCTCCACTTAATTTAAACTGAATTCACATTTAACTCTATCTTCACTGACACTGTTGGGGTGGGTATGTGTGTATTAATCTGGTTTCCTTTTAGCTTTCCTAAATCACTTGAGATACACAACTTTATTGAATCTTTTGAAAATCCCACTAGGTACCTAAATGAGACCATTTCTAAGAGGTATTGTCTCTCTTCCCACAACCACATCAGTTGATTTAATAAGGAAATGTGCTGCCTTTTGGGCCCACAGACTCTTTTTTAATTCTGGAACAGAAGTAAACTTTGAAACATCTGTTTCACTGTGAAAATACATCTGAAGTGCTAAAGTCAGCAGAAGTCAAAGGTTCTGTTAAAGTTGGGCAGGATGAGTATGTTCTGCAGCTCCCTGGTGCAGCCTCTGGACTGCAACACAAGTGTCCAGCAGACTGCTGTGGCTCCATCACTAGAATCTGTTTTCTGTTACAGGTAAACATTGCTTCTCATTGTCAAAGGATCTGGAAACTTAACTGGAAAGAAACTTGGGCACGTGGTGGATGTCTCTCCAGTGAAAACTTCTCTTCCCAATAGTATCTGGTACTAATTGAAGTTAGAAACTTGATAGGAGGAATCCTTGTCTGTTCAACATCTATGGAGTCTACAATAATTTCTTTACTAATACTTTTAAATTACTTGATTAATGCTTATTTTTTGTATTTATAACTTAAATAATTACTAATGCATTCAGGGGGTGTTTTGTTAATAATGGGAGCTAAACTGAAATGTTCTTGATGTGTGTTTGGTCATTCTGGAAAACTCAATTTGATCTGTTTGTCTGCACCAGGGAAAAGTGTCCTGCTTCAGACAAGTCAACTGCACAAAACCTGGCTCATTTAGACCAAGACTAGGAAAAAGAAAAGTTTATGATGTATTGTTTTTTCATTCTCAGTAATTCAGTTTGGTATAGCATTAATGTTGACTATTAGCAACACACATTTCTGGATTTTAAAGTGAGACTGAATGAGTTTGTTTGCATTTAAGATGTACGGTCAGTAAATTAGAACCAAGATGCATCTTGTGGTGAAGGAAATAACTTATTTGAAAATTATTGAAGGCAGGTCTGCACAAATGCCAAGAATCTGTTGTCAAATTGCTACTGCAAAAACTACTACTTAGAGCAATAAATCCAGTTCTGGATTGGTTTGAGAGGTGTACATTGAAAACTTTGTGAGAGACTTCATTGAGATCAAAAGAAGGTTTGAAGGAAAACACTGTATCACTGGGGTTTATCAGAGAAATAACACCAAAATACTTACATTAGATGGGTACCTAAATGCGATGGGACTGCCGAAGCCTGTGTCTCTGTTCAAGCAGAATACCAGAGGATTAAAGCAACAGGATATATGCTAGGATATACAAATTAGTTTAGATTACAAAGGCAAAGAAGTCATATTAAGTCTTCTTTCAGTTTATTTTCTTCTCTTTGAAGTGTCACTATAGCCCTCTCACCTTATAGATAGGTTGTGGGACTCGTTTTATTTTATGTCAGTGTCATGTTTCTGAATGCATGTCAGCACTGGAATCCAGAGTGGATGCACATACACTATGACTGAGAAGAGAATTTTTCTTGAGAGGTGACGCTAACACATTTTAGGAGCTGTGCTGCCTAACAGTCTGTTAGTGCCTATGTTGTACAATGGCACCTATGTTCTGGATACCAAGCCAAGAAAGGTCAGTTTATGATGATTGTGGTGAGCTTTTTAGGGTAAATCTTAGGGGTTTGATTGAAATTAGTTACTGATCTTTTTCCTGAGGATACATTTTGGTAGGAGAGCACAAACTGCTTACTGCATTTTGTCTGTCTCTTCACTTTGTGACCACTGTTGGTTCATCCAAAGGCCAAACAGTCTGTCTGCAGAGAATTACCAAGTGGATCAGACACCGAGCTCGTAGTGTTTCCTTCAGTGACAATGGCTGAACAAGCTGTTCCTTTGAGTTTCTTCATGTCTTACTCTTTGTGCAAACGGTGGATTCATCCCTTTTCCTAAAAATGTTATCTGAAACGGTACAGTGCAAGCATGCAAACTAACCGTTGATTTTTGTGAAAGGTCTGTGCTGTGGCTGTCAGCCTCATACCTAAGGAAACGCAGTGTCAGCAGCTGCTGACAGTGGTTCCTGTGAGTACTGGGACTTGCCCTCTGTCCCCATTTTACCACTTCAGTTCTCACTTGAACCAGGCTTTGGGCTCAGTACTCTTTCCAAAGAACTTCTGACCACAAGATCAAAACCCACTTTCTGTCATGTCCTATGTATGTCTTGTTACTTTTAATGCCTTTTCCCGCAGTTTGATGCTGTTTCTGCTCTCAGAGGTTACTAAGAATGTACCAATAGCAACCGAAGAGGTGTTCAGTCTTAATTATCTTAGTCAGTGTCTGTGTCACACCCTCATTTGACAAGGCTGGGAAGCACCTACTTCTCTAACAAAAATATAGCTCGGAGGTTTGGTTACAAATATAATTTCCACAGGAATCTGATTCCAGTTCAGATTTGAGAAGCAGAGTGCCTAGTGTGGTGAAGGAGAAAGGCCTTTTTAACACAGTACAGAAACTTTAAATGAATCATATTTTGTTTATTGCAAGAGAATTTGAGCACTGCCCAAGCTTTGATTTATCATAGCCAGGTTGGGTTGTTTTTCAGTACAAGAAAAGAAAGCTGAAATAATTGCGATTTTCTTTTTATAAGAAACCTGCATCCCTATGGTATGAAACTCTTCTCCCTTGCTGAAACCACACAACTATTTGCAAATTTCTTTGAGATAGATAGATAGCTAGAGGATCTGCCTTTACTTTATGGGAAGGTGTACACAAGATGGCAGGAATGGCTTTTTTCAAATAGAATTTCATGCAGCTCAGGGGAAATGGTCTCTTGAAAAATGTCTTCAACCTCCTGGAGTTGTGGGCGATGAGGAATGTAAGAGTCAGCTTCCTCTGAAGGTGCAGCTTTGAGTCATTATTGCTGTTTTCTTCCCCATCTGCATGGAGTGGGGAGCAGAGTTATAACGAGAAATCTCTAGGCTGTCGGGGCAGAGCTCTCTCTTGACTGACTGAAACAGCCTCAGCTGTTGTGACCTGGGAGACAAGGGATTAAAATAAATGTATTTTGTGAATAGGTGTGGGTTTGGTTTCTTTGGGTTTTTGGTTGTTGTTGTTATTTCCCATGGATTTTTCTGTTTTGCAAGAATAATTGTAGATTTTTTTGCCTGCACAGATAGTCTTGAGGAGTGCAAGCTGTATTTTCTTCCACTTGATTCTCCAGGGTTTTCCTTCCATTCTTATCAGACATAATTGCTAATCTCTACTGTTACCCTGCAGACATCAGTGTAAGCTAAATCCGGTGTGATCTTTTTCTGAATGAAGTATCACTTCAAAGAAAACAAAGGGGTCTGCTCAGCTTTTGGTTTGGGTTGACTCATTTTGCCCACAGTGGGTTGGTTTTTTCAGTTTTATCCACTTGATGTTTTGTGTGTGGGTGTGTACATGACAGGAATGTATTGAATGCTGAGCTGTTAAGCAGCTGATAGAAGTAGCTGGTTTTTTGTTGTCAGCATTCCTGTATAAAACGCTGTCTTACAACGAGTGGGTTTAATTTGGTTGAGGATTTTTTTTAAGGCCCTATGGGGCTCTTCTGAATGAGGGATAAGAACGATTTCATTATTCCAGAAAAAAAAAATTGTGTTAGTTTTACTATTTGCTTCATTTAAAAACTGAAGAGAATAAGTTGGTTTATTTTCAGGGCAGTTTGATAGTATCTCATGTAGACCGGCAACTGCAGGTACCAAAAATCAGTTTATTCTTCTTCTGTCTCTAATGAATCTTTTCTGGTCCATTTTCTCAGGTCCTGCTTTTTTCCTACTTCTGAGATAGAGCTTCTTTATTGCAACTTGCTTGTTGAGAGACAGCTGTGAAGCAGAAGCTGTGTATATGCACAAAGTCTCAAAGAGAAAGAGGGTAAATGTGAGGTTTGATTGCCATGTGTAGACTAAGGGAAAAAACCCAACTTTGTTGTATTAGGTATGACTTGAATGGAAAAAACAGTGAAGGAAGTGTCTTTGTTATGGTAACTGCTGAGGTTTTTCCTCTCCTTTAATAGCCCTATCAGTGGAATTGGGTGTGATTAATACCTCTTGTGAATGGAATTAGAACTACAAAAATGTCACAGTTCAGAAGTCCTGTTACCCAGCCAAGTCATTGTTTTTGTTTTGTGGTTTC